GAGACTCTTTCCTTGGAAGATCCCAGGCCGAGAAACAGGGACTAACACATCCTGGCTCGTTCTTTCAGGCAACCGTGCTGTGTGACGTCATAGTCCTCTACTGCATGAAGAAAAGATACTACTACCGGGAGAAGAAGTACAAATACGTGGAAGAGTATGAGCAGGTAGACCACCCCCCGAACTTATCTCGCTTGCCTCCGGTACCAGTGGTGACAACACTGAGCGCTGGGCCTGACACCCCCGGCAGTCCCACGCCACCCGTGTCACCTGCTCCAGCTCTACAACACCTGCCCTAGTCCTTACTTCACATGGACCCACTCTTTAAAATCTAGCCCGACCGGTGTGGCTCAGTGGTTGAGCATCAACCTATGAACTGGGAGGTCACGGTTCATTTCCTGGTCAGGGCACATGTCCAGGTTGCGGGTTCAATTCCCAGTCGTGCGGGAGGCAGCCAATCGATGATTCTCTCTCATCATTGATGTTTCTCTCTCTCTCCCTTCCTCTGAAATCAATTAAAAAAAATTAAAAACATTTTTTAAAATAAAATTTAGCCTCTTTTAATCGGTGACATCTCTGGTGAGTTATGATAACATATTACAACAGAATTGCCTTGCATAGCAAAAGGGGTTGGGAACCATGCTCTGCAGCCACTGCACTAGGACCAACTTGAGTGCGTGCGGCTATGAAGGGCTGTCCCAAGTCCTCAGCAAAAGCACCTGGCCCTCGCCACCCAGAATGCTCCAGGCTTGCCTGCGGGCAGCAGCGCTGGGTGAGTGTACATTTATCCATAAGCATATCAATTAATGGCAAATATGTCATTTTTTGCAGGGTATCAACAATGAGATGGACCAGTAATGTCTACCCCACATCTGGGCTCCCCACGGCACTCATCAAAGCAAAGGAGAAATCAAAGAGAAGGGAGAAAAGGCTTCCATGGCACCCCAGGGAAAGTTCGAGATTCTGAGTCAATTTCCACTCCACACAAGTCCTTTAGGGTTGCCCAGCTGCTCCCGTTTTGTGTTGCAAGATGTGCATCGTTAACCACCCTGTTCTTGGCTGGGTCACCTTTGCTGACCCTTCAACTGGGGATGCCCCAGGGCAGTGACGCTGCTGAAGCCACAGGGCTAGGGCCATCTCCAGGGCCGGCTCTCTTCAGCTCTCCTGGGGCGCCCCCTGCAGGGAAGGTCCAGCGGTGCAGGTGCAAGGACGCGTGGCATGCCCAACTGTGGGTCCTCTCCCCCTGCCAGACTTTGTCCGCGTAACCATGAGGCGGAGTTAGTGTTTCTCTTTTGAGAAGAGGTATGTTGAGATGACTGAGGACCAAACATTAAAACAAATGATTTTCTTAATCTCCATCTGCGTGGTTTCCTAGCACGAGCTAAAACGTTCTTCCTTCCTCCCCTAGTAAATCCGTTTGTTGTCCCAGCCCATTGAGCTCAGTCTGCTGCTGGAGCCTAGGTTCTTTTTTCCCCACTTCAGCTTTCTCTTAAAGGCCCAAGGATTTTGATCTTCATCAGGCTGTGTTCTTGCAGGGTTTACAAGATTTCTTTTCTCTAGGGACAGCTCGCCTGACCCGTGGTTACAATTTCCCTAATATGACGGCACTACATACACTCTAGGGGGCCCGTTTTTAGGCAACATGACAACGGCTTCTCTTTCCGCGACCCCATTTGCTTTCCAGAAGCTTCCAACCAGAAGCAGCAGCACCTCCACCTCCGTTGCCACGAGTGTGAAATGTTAATGAAGCTATTTCTAGTTTAGCCTTCACACTGACTTCATTCTGCACCAGGTGTTCAAGGTCTCCCTAAAGACAGCAGCTTGCCCTCCCCCTCGTCATGCATTCATTTCCGAGCACTGAAGGAACAGCTTATTTTTAAAGGGCTCTGCTCTGGTGGGCAAATGACCAACTTGGGCTTTTCTTACTTTGGGGGGCGGGGGTAGGTTTATTGGCCCTGGCTGGGGTGGCTCAGTTGGTTGAATGCCATCCAGCGCACATGCCCAGGTTGCAGGCTCGATCCCCAGTAGGGGTATGCAGGAGGCAGCCAATTGATGTTTCTCTCATCAATGTTTCTCTCTCTTTCCCTTCCTTTTTCTCTAAAACCAATAAAAACATTTTTTAAAAAAGGTTTACCAAACCCCTCTGAAAAAACTCTGGTTCATGCTACCTTTTTTTTGAAAAACGCCCACTTAAACCTACAGCTCAAATGGAGCTGGAAGTTTTAGGAATGGCTTCGAACCTTGCAGGCTAAGGAGTGATGGTTACTGGAGTGGAGGAGACTCCTTTTAGCCTCCCTCTTTCTAAAACAGAATGCTAGGGCCAGTTGGGGTGACGGCTGGGGGCTGGGGGCGGCATTGATTATTTCATTCACCAGAGTCAGCTTTTGGTTCCGCTATGTCCCCACTTGGTGGCACTGCCTCTTAAGTAGGGGTCCTTGCATCTGAAATGGGCTTCCGGGAGTCTCTGGAACCCCTAAAACTTTGCAAAGTGATGCACCTGTGTGCATTCTTTCAGCTTTCATCCGATTCCTTTTAACCACCCCAAGGTGCTTATTGCAAACTGACCAGGCCCATCCGTGCCCGGGTTCTCAGTGTGGCTTTAACGAGAACACCTGCTTTTGACTCTTAGCGGCCAGTATTTCATCGTTGGATTTCTGCAGCGACGGGAACAGGAAGCTTTCAGACTTCACCTGCTGCCTCTGATAACAGAAAACGGAGGTGCAAAGCCAAGCAAGCACCCTCAGCCTCTAGTCCAGAGAAACCATTCGTTCCAAAACAGTCTCCAGACGCCGTGAAAACTGGCAACGGTGGAAATGCTCTAAAACACTGACTTTGCCGACAAGCTCGGGCAAAGGCGACGACCCATAAAACGGGGTTAATAATACCTACCGTGTGAAATGTCATGTAGCCGGCCTACCCACTGGGGCGTTTGCTGTCTCATTAAAACTAGCTGCTCACCTGTTTGATCTCCACCAGAAACATCAAACCATCGCCTGCCTGCTAGAGCCGTGTTTCTCAAACTTCGGCGCGCAGACCAGCCACCTGGGGATCCTGGGTAAGCGAGGCCTGGGAGTCTGCATTCCTAATCCACTTCCCAGTGCAGCTGACACTGCTGGTCTGGGGACCACACTCTGAGCAAGACACCAGGACATGCTTAAATTAGGGATGAGTAACGTAACGCTGGATACATTAGCCTTGACCTGGCATTTGATCTCACGTCGACCTAAGGAAGGAAAACAGAGGTAAGGACAGAGGTCCTAGAGGGTGCCGACTTCACGACCAACAGAAAAATCCCAAGGAGGCGGGCTTTGCACCATTTTGGCTGTCTTGTTTATTTCAAGTTTACAGAGAAGCTTAAACATCTGTGGAAAAACACCAAAGGCTTATTTTTTTTCTCAAGTTCATGTCTTTTTAAGTGATAAATACACAGTATTTAACTTTGTACACCTGATAAAAGGAAAATGCATAGTAGAAAGGATCAGGAATGAAACAGAAGCATCGGGCAGTAAATCAATCACAGGATAGAAAAGTCAGCAGTCCCACGAAACTCGGCCCGTGAAGCTGGAGGGAAGATGGGGACCGACGACCTTGGAACCTTTCCCTAGCACCTTAGAAATAAGTGGAGGTCATGGTTCTTCCCCCCCTGGCAACGTGAAGCTCCCCTTTGGAAGATGGGTGAGAGTGACAGGTCGAACCTATGTGTCTAAATGCACAGGTATTCGCCTCCTTGGTCCAGAAAGGCTTTGAGGACAGGAGCCCTAACTCCAGGAAAGGCCAGACTAGCGGGGAGACAGCCTCTCGGGCCCCCAGTGCCGACAAGGGGCTAGATAAGGCTTTATGGGAGCCACTGGTAAGCCAGCGGAATAGAGGGGGAGAGGGGTGTACAACAGGGCAGAGGAAAAGATGGCAAAGTTGTGCTTCCTTCAAGGCCCGGATGCAGGCCACAGGTTGCTTACACACCAAAGTGGTCCCACAGATGAGCCAGCAACGGGAGAAACGGACGGGCAGCCTTTTGGCTCACCTGCAACGCTGCTCCTAATAGCTCCCCCTCTCCTGATAGCTGGCTTTTGAAAAACCAATGTTTGTGCTCCAAGGGAGTGGTAATTAACACCTTATGGTACAGCCCTCTCTGCTTAGGCTTTTTGGGGGTGGCAGCCAGTTCCTTTCCACAGCTTTCTTTGGTGTTTCTTTGTAAAAAATAATAATAATAATAATAATAATAATAAAGTTATGAACTTGGGCCTCCCCCAACCCACCGCCGAAATAGCTGGGTGCTGCCTGATGGCGGGCATTCCACATGTGAAACCTGCCCCGAGAGTGTCGTGGGGGAGATGGCATTGCCCGACGCGGCTGTGTAAACACAGGAGTTCTGCAGAAGCTCTGCGCGCTGCCCGCCCTCCCCGGGACGAGCCACCCGCCAGGCCGGAGTCCACACAAACAAGCTGGGACAGACACCCAGGACCGGCTGACTTCAACCACTGCAAGGTGCTTACTGCAGCCTAACCGGGCTCCAGCTGCTCCCGGAAGGGGCGGGGCCCACACGTTGAAACAGCATAGGAGGGAGGGCAGGAGGAAGTACCAGGTTACAAAAAGCAAGCAAGCAGGCGAGAGGACCCTCCATCAGACAGGTATCCTCTGCTCGTTGGACACCAGCACTTCCCCATTCTGTACTATTGTTACAGGATCACGAGAAAAGACTGGCTAACTGACAGCCAAGAGCTTACATTCAAGATCTACGGATGCCAAGAATGCCTGGGCTCCGAGATTCCTTGCTTCTCTCTCTGAAAAATGTCCTCATACCAAGGCCGTCCACACAGAAACAACGGAAAGCATGCAGTGTTTCCCCGGGTTCCACAAAGCACCGGGAATCTCCCAGGACAAAGTCTTCCCATTTTTCCTAACCCTTGACCTTCACACTCGCCCACCTGCGGCTCTGGAAGAAGTCCCACTTGTACTGCAACCACACTTCTCAATATCAGATGAAGGTCAAAAAAATAAACCTTTTCTTTCTCGACTTCTGACTGCGAAAGGGAAGCCCCCGTTCCTTGGACCCTGAGGAGTGCTCTGGGTTTCCACAGCCTTCTCTCAGAGGGTGCCCAGGGGTCTCCTAACAGAGCTTTGCTGCTACGGATGATCATTCGTGTCTCGGTCGAATGAAAGTATTTCCTAACCGGACCTCCGGGAACTGGATATACTGTTTGACTAACGACAACACTCAGCTAGTATTTAAGAAGAGAACAAAACGTTCAGTGTCTAGAATTACACAGGCTATAAACAGGCCAAGCTGCTAATATACACGCGCGGGTTTCATGGGTTCTAACTCCGATCGCACGCCCGAAGCCGGGGACTAGATCCTGGAAGCTCTAGAATAGGTGGTTTCTGACTTACTCTGGAGTTCAGTCTAGTTGGAGAAGTGACCATTTTTGCTTGTTTGTTCACTCTCAAGCCATGTAATATCCATGGAAGTAGAGGATTTCACCCTGATGTTTTTGTAATTGAACGAGAGATTTGCTAAGAGAGGTCAGCCGCCTCCCCGTATGCATTCAAGTCCTTTAAGCAAAACGTCTCCCACCACCACCACTAATGCCCTTGAGGGTTGACAATCCCCTCTGTGAAACAGTTCACCATCAAGCCCTTTCTGTTTTTCTGACAATTCCAGTCACAACAAAATAAAGTAAAATTAAAAAATGTTCAAGTCCTTCTTACAAATAGGTTGCATCCAAGCTCCCCGCAGCTACTGAGGGCTAGCCCTGCCTCGCTGCCTTGAGTCCACGGTTCTGGAAGGTGGTGTGCTTTTAGGTTTGGGGTTTGCATGGGAAGTCACGTCCACTCTTCTCCCTTTCAAATACAGCAACGCACTCACTCTGTGGTCTCAGGCCATGCCTTCTGAGTTTTCAGCCAGTTTTTCACGATTTTCAAACCCCACACACATTCTCTCGGTGTATCTGACGTGGTTCCTGGTTCACAACGAAGGATTTTTTTGGCATAAAAACGTTGTTTTAAAAAGCAAACTGTCCCAAAATGCATGTGGCTCTGGGTCTGCAACTCCTCACACCTGCCTGTTCAGCCAGCCAGCGGCCAAGGTCAAGGTCATGGAGTGTTTTGTGGGTTGGTGTGTATTTTTTTTTTGTCCCCTTTAAAACAACAAAGGAAAACAAAACAAAAAAACAAACAACCAGAGATGACGGGCAAGGCTCTACACGCGTGCTCAGTTTCCGTAGGACATGCTGCTATGGAAACGCAGGGTGCGAGCCCTGGAGGTGAGACACCCAGCATGCGAGGTCACGGGCGTCCAGCAGCTACTCCATGGCGTCGTCTGGCCGCAGAGGATGCATGCGCGCTCGGTGGCCAGGGCCCAAGGCCCCCCAACTCTCCATACGCCGCCGACCGCCTTTCACAAGAGCACTTCCTCCTCCCCCGCGAGGGCCGGGTCGGGCCCCTGGAGGCTGTCTTCGCTGCCGTGCTTCCTGCTCACCAAACAGAAAACCGAGGTTAAGAGTGGGCAGTGCTGGCACAGCCCGAACCGGCACCTCCAGGTCCAAAGCTATTTACACAACCTCTTCTTCCAGATCAGGGGTGGGCAAACTTTTTGACTCGAGGGCCACAATGGGTTCTTAAACTGGACCGGAGGCCGGAACAAAAGCAGGGATGGAGTGTTTGTGTGAACTAATATAAATTCAAAGTAAACATCATTACATAAAAGGGTACGGTCTTTTTTTTTTTTAGTTTTATTCATTTCAAACGGGCCGGATCCGGCCTGCGGGCTGTAGTTTGCCCACGCTGTTCTAGATTCTCTCCTCCTTTTTTCTCAGATACAATTTTCTTTTTCTTTTCTTTCTTTTTTTTTAACCTAGACCCAAAGGGCAGAGCTTTTTCCCGAACAGCTGAGCCCAATCACAAATTTCGGAGCCTAGCCCGGAGGAGCCCAGACAAGGCCCATAGAGCCAAGCCTACTCCCAGAGAGACAGCCGCGTCACGGGGTCTAAAGCTAGTCCCCGAAAGGCTTAACCCTAGCTCCGAAGAGTTGACTCTCGACCCCAAAGAGCTGAATCTAGTCTCCAACAGCCTAAGCCC